CTTTGTGAACCTCCATGTGCAGATTTCGTGGCAGGTGCAGCGCGTTGTGAACCTCCATGTGCAGATTTCGTGGCAGGCACAGCACTTTGTGAACCTCGAGGTGCAGATTTCGTGGGGGCACAGCGCTTTGTGAACCTCCATGTGCAGATTTCGTGGCAGGTGCACCACTTTGTGGACCTCCATGTGCAGATTTGGTGGCACGCGCAGCACTTTGTGAACCTTCATGTGCAGTTTTCGTGGCAGCCGCAGCAGTGTGTGAACCTCGGCACTTTGTGAACCTCCATGTGCAGATTTCGTGGCAGGCACAGCACTTTGTGAACCTCCATGTGCAGATTTCGTAGCAGGCGCCGCGCTTTGTGAACCTCCATGTGCAGATTTCGAGGCAGGTGCAGCACTTTGTGAACCTCCATGCGCAGATTTCGTGGCAGGCGCAGCACCTTTGTAGTACAACTTTAGTGCGCGGAGCATCTGCGGAGCTGGAAGATGAGAACTGGCGACTTTGTGGTACAACTTTAGTGCGCAGAGCAATCTGTGGAGCTGGAAGCTGAGAACTGGCGACTTTGTAGTGCAACTTTAGTGGGCGGAGTATCTGGGGAGCTGGAAGATGAGAACTGGCGACTTTCAAGTACAACTTTAGTACGCGGAGCAATCTGTGGAGCTGGAAGCTGAGAACTGGCGACTTTGTAGTGCAACTCTAGTACGCGGAGCAATCTGGAGAGCTGGAAGCTGAGAACTGGCGACTTTGTAGTACAACTTTAGTACGCGGAGTATCTGGGGAGCTGGAAGATGAGAACTGGCGACTTTGTAGTACCACTTTAGTGCGCGGAGCAATCTGTGGAGCTGGAAGCTGAGAACAGGTGACTTTGTAGTGCAATTTTAGTAGGCGGAGCAATCTGTGGAGCTGGAAGCTGAGAACTGGCGACTTTGTAGTGCAACTTTAGTACGCGGAGTATCTGGGGAGCTGGAAGATGAGAACTGGCGACTTTGTAGTACAACTTTAGTGCGCGGAGCAATCTGGGGAGCTGGAAGCTGAGAACTGGCGACTTTGTAGTGCAACTTTAGTAAGCGGCTGAGTCATCTGGCACCCCTGCAGCTGAGTCATGTCTCCCGACCACCCGGCTGTCTTGAGAGGTTGACAAATTTTAGCTACTTTGCTTACTCAAAAGTGGTCATTTCGATTACTTTCTGGAGACCTCAAAACACGTGTTTTGAGAGGTTGACAACTTTGAGCTAACTAGCTTCGTGTCTAGACAAGCTATCACCTCATAGTTAACGTCAACGTCTAGCTCCAGTTAGTTTTAGTGGAGCTAGAGCTAGAGCTATGCTCTGGCTTTAGTGGAGAGCGAGACAGTTGACGGTGGTTGCTTCGCTTTCGCTCCATTGGTCGGTTCCAACTTGTTTTGTCAAAGAACATCGCAGCTCGGCGAATCAGCCTGCCACATGCCCATTTCCTTTAGGTTTATTCTTTTGGAAACTTCCGCCGCCGGCTTGCCCGGGAACTACTTGTAAACGAGAGATAGTGCTGCTTGGACGTTTGGACACACCCACAAATCATCACAAACCTTATCTTCCTATGCCTAAAGAAAAATGGCCTGTCCCTTCGGATGACTGGGACTCAGTCGGCCATGAGCAAGCTTGCGGGAGCGGGCAAACTATATAGTTGGGCTTGCTTTGAACTGAAAAAGAACACATGTGTGTCACATGTGTTAATCATAGATCCCCAAAGAAAGGTGATGGACCCACAGGCAAAAGCCAGGTATATCACATGTACGATTACATACCCCGCAAGTCTGCATGTCAGCTGCCTGGCTGAATGTTGTCCTGTAGAACAATGACACACCTGACCCCAAAGGATTGCCAGGATGACTCTAAGAAAAAAAGCGGGTTCCAACATGTTCAGCCAGCAGCTTGACAACAAATACAATTAAATACACACCAATTGACATCGACTGCACTGATTTTGCAGGTGACCGCGGTGGGGAACTTGCACCGACTATCCGATCAGTCCTGCGACCGGTGAGGCACTTGTCCACTATCCGATCATATAAATAAGTCCTCCGGGAAACAAAATAAGAAGGGTTCGTCGATATAGTCAAGGGTTCGTCGACCTTTGAGTTAAAGTGCAGCTAACCTCAGGCAGTCACGAGGCAGTGAGCCATACAAATGACACACGATAGCAAGCGTAGATAACAGGCAAAAACAACTAGATACTTTGTTACTTGCCACTTATCTTGATCATTTTGCCTTTCTCTTGAAGTACTTTCTTGTCAAATCGTCCCTGCCTTCGTTAGATGACTGAAATCCGGCCAAAAGCATTTTGGTATTCTCGAACCTTGACACAGGGCCCCTTTATGCTCTCTCTTCTCTGGCAACTTGAGTTCTGATGTCAAATCCAGGGCCATCACAGCATGGTGCACTTTCTCGCCGATCTCCTTCTCGTTTTGCTGAACCTCATTTGTTGCATCTCGCATCAGGTAGAATTCGAGCAAAGAATCTGGGCCCTGGACGGTCAAACACAATGTATCAAGAAGCCTTGGTCAACGAATGTCAACGAAAAACCATTGGAGAATCCATGAAACTCCCTGCGGCCGGAGCCAAATATTAGATGGTTTCTCCGCTCAAAGTTTGCGTTGCCTATTCTTCTTCTAGTCCACGCTCATTTGATGTTCTTTCGACACACAATCAAAACGCCCAACCCCGCAAATATGAAAAGAGAGCGAGAGCAGACTCAGCCAAGGAGCCGGGATGACGCCTCCCCGGATGCACGATCTGCCTTTCCTGTAGTCATCAGGTCTTGCCAGAGTTGATGC